GTGGACGCCGTGTCCACCGCCTCCTCGTGTAATTCCAAAGTTTCAGAGCCCGCCGCCGCCCCCAACATTGCCTGTGGTTAACCAAACACCAGCATCTTTGCCTTCAGCTTCGGGGAACGATGCCACCAGCCGCGCCGGTGAGGCAGGAAATTCCATGATTTTTGCAGATTCTGGTTGAGAAGCGAACTTCTAAGTTGCAAAAGTCATGTATGGGAGAAAATCTCAAGACCAGTTCTTTGCAGGCATCTGGGGCAAAAAGAACTCGGACCTTTTTTTTGTTAGGCCTGGACATGTTGAGATGCAGGTATCACATTGGATTTGCTTCTCTTGGGCAGGCAGATACTACACCGTGGACACGGAGAACCGTGTGCAGCGCGTGCAGCCGAAGAAGATGCCGTACTAGACTGTGAGATCAAAAGGAGAGCCTGGCTTTGCGCATGAGCTTTCCCATACAGTATGTGTCACTTAGCTTTTGCGTTCAACGTTGCGCCAGCTTTTATCCTTTGAGGTTTTGGATATGGCATGAAGGACTGCTTCACTGTCACTATATTTCTTTTCATTATATATCTGCGATCTGGAGGACTTCATTCGATGCCCAAGTGGCGTCGATGGAAACCCTGGCGCTCCACTGGAAGTGAGCCCCCGCAGTTTTCACAATCATCCTTCAGGAGCTGCTTCACTTTTAGGTTGCGCCTGGGACTTCTGTTGAGCTTTGCATTGATGACTTGTCCAAGCAGTTTTCCCGGAGCCATTTGGTTTGTCTCAACTTGGGGCGCTGCAGCAATGAAGAAAGAAAATCGCGAGCAAAACCGACTGAAACAATTGGATGTGAATCCAAGCCTTGTTGATGATATTTGCTGTGCATGGGAGAAGCATTTCCCTGATCTAAAGCAGGCCGGTGTCAGGGCAAGTTTACCTAGATGCAGTTTTGGGCTGTAAGCTTCAAACACTATGCTTGGTCAGGCGGGCTTCAGCTTTGTCCGGGCCTACTCACCCAAATTCTTCGAGAAGGACCAGGTTTGCCAGATCAAGGATATTGAGTTGAACACGGAGGCAATTTTTTCTCTAGAGTAGTATTTTGTAGCAACGCTGTTCGGTTGCTGGCAGGCAATCTTGGGCATTTTGATTTCCATGCCGGATGAGTCCAGGTTGAGCGAAGAGGTTGTAAGTCGCGCCATCTTGAAGTTTTTCATGGAGCACCACAAACTACCAACAGGCTTAGGTCTCGAGGTTGTGGAAAAATGGGCTGACAAAATGGCGTATGGTCTGAGGGAAGCTGCCTCACGGTTCAAACGGCTGCTTTGGGCCAGCAGCCATGGTGCCAAAAGCAAAAAATCAAGGAAGCAAAAGAAAAATATTGGGAACTTGTTGGAGCGGCTTCTGAAAAGAAACCTGTTGACAAACCGGCCATCGATCCGGTACAAGCTTTGCAAGAAACAGGGTTTGACTGGGTGAGTTTGGAAGCTGCTTTGAAACAAGCCTTGGAAAAGAAACGGGTTGGTGAAACAAAGCTTGCGGAGAAGGAAAACACGATTTCCAAAAAGAAGTCTGGAGATTCTTTGACATCCGCCTCTTCCACGGAGATTCGCCGGGACAACAAGTACTTGCTGCCTGTGTATGCCTGTCACTTAGTTTGTTCGATTCCAATTTGCTATGGGATCATGCCACTTCCTCCGCCCAGGTCGAGAAGGCATTGGCAGCGAACCAGTGTCCACCACCTGCGGCTCTCCAGCCAATTCCAGATGAGGTTGACCCCCAAGATGGCATGGATGTTTCTGGAGACGCTGAGCCCCCCAAGAAAAAGAAAAAGGGAGCAAAAAAGACTAGAACGAGGGAGACTGGAGAGGAAGAGGTGAAAACAGCAGATGTTCCAGACAACCAGAGTGTGAGGCAGGCTGGAACTCGTCCAGTTGCTCGGCCATTGGCGAGGCAGTGTGCAAAGACCCAGGATCCACCGCCGTCAAATGCGTACGCTCCAAAGCAGTTCCAAGCCAAGAAATCTGAGTTTGTTCAAAACAAACGCAAGGAAGGTCATGGTTACCAGGAGTCGCTTCGACTTTGGATGCTCTCTGATGAGCGCGCTGATTACCTTTCCACTTTGGACGCCAAAGAGTTGAAGAGGAGGAGGTTCACATAGATTTTTTTGGGGGGTAAACGCATGATGGAAAAACCATCAACTGCAATTGGGTTTCAGCAAGGGACGTGACCCCTTGTGATTAGAGGCAGATACTGGGGCTGGAGTGGAAAAATAAAAATCCGTTGCTGGCTTGAGCTGGGAAAAGCTGGGAAGCAGATTTGGTTCCCTGTTTGCAACATCACTAGCCTTGTTGCTGTGAGTTCATGGCTGGCAGCTCGCGCGGGGTTGTTTAGGTTTTGTGGGTATGTCAGTCTTCAGATTCTTGCAATGGCGCCTCCCACTGGGGCTGATCATTTTGTCTCTTCTCCTAGCACACGATTCTGGCATTCCTGATGAGAAGGTCAGATATTGAAAGAATATTTTGTATTGAGTGTTGAAACTTTTTGGCTGTTTGTCAGGACAGAGATTTTGTCGAGATCTACGCCGGGAAAGCTTGGCTGAGCTTTGCCATGAGGGAGGCCCAAATGGAAACGCATTTCTGCTATATCTATAACGCTATAACTATAACACTAATTTTGCAGCAAATTTGCTGTCTAGTAGGTTAAACGCATGTCAAATTCCACAAGCCACGGAAGGATACTTCTCAATATTTTTGTTTTGCAGGCCGGCTATGTGGGCACCAGTCTGGACCTGGATTATGACCTGGAACGGGGGTCTCATGACATTTCCCAATCTGCTGGGTTTTTGCCAGAAACCAAGTTGGAGCTCTTACAAGTGAAACTAACTTTGCATTTTGTTGGCGCGCGTTGTCATTTTGGACAGGCTTGCCATGAATGAAGTCAGACGCCTCAAAGAAGGAGGGCTCTTGATAGTAGCCTTGCCTTGCCAGAGTTTTTGTCGTCCGCTGGGGCCTTGGCATTTGAATTGCTTTCTTCTTGACTTGCTCTGACCTGGCGTCAGGTCATCAGGCACTCACCAGAGAAGCATGCTTTACCCCAGTGGCAACGCTGGCTACGCTTCAGTTCGGCTTGGTAATCTCTTAGCGTGGCGGAGCTTGCTTCTGTGCCTTTATGCTGCCTGCTTAGGCTGCCGTTTTGTTCTTGAACAGCCGAATGGCACAGCGCTGAATGTACACCCTGCTTTTGAAGCCTTATGCAACCACATTGAGGCAAGAGAGCTGATTGAACTAGAACCTCTTTCTCTTTTTTTTGGGCAGGTATGGAGCACTGGTCTTTGGCACGGGTTGTACCACTTCTTCAAGTTCTCTCCAAAACGACAACGGCTCTTCTCGAACGACCACACGTTCTTGAGACAAATTTGGGCTTGCGCAGGCCACCTACAGCCAGGCGACAAAGATTGCTTCCAAGGTGAACCCACCACAAAGCGTCGACGTCAGAGTGATGGAAAAGTTTCCTGGAGCGGCGCTGGCGCTACTTTGAAAAGTAGCCAGCTACTAGACATAATTTTTTTGGGGTGGAAGGCTTTCACTGAATTCCGTGCTTTCCTAGTGCGTGTGCCTAGGGAGTGTGCCCAATGCTTTGGGGTCCACATAGCGCTGATCTTGAAGCGAGCTTGGGAGAGCCCAACTTGGCCCGCCTGAACCTGAGAGTGTTCAGTTCAGGATGTTTTTAGGAAAGTTTTTGTCAACAAAAAACTGGTTTGCAGGAGTTGCCAAAACCGCTTTGCCTACAGCCCGTGGATGAGGGCAAGTCTGACTTGGAACTTTTTGAGGCTAGTGAAGATGGAAACATAAAGAGCTTGCCAATTCAGACTCTGACGCAGGAACTTGAGTTTTCTCGGGAACGTGAATGGTCTGAGGCCATGTCGTTTTGTTGGTTCCAGTTCTACCTCCCTGTGTGCTTCAATGCCTTATGTCCAGGCCTGCTTGGACGCAGCAGTTCGCTATTTGTTGGCGTCTAAGACGCTGGAGCCAATGGGCCGGTGGCATGGGGTTTTGCAGCGCGCTGCTTGCAAGTGGTTGGGTTCATAATGCTTCTTCAGCATATGTATATATTGCAAATTCATCACTAGGGAGATCCAGATTCGCTCCCTGTGGCTTCTTGGGGTGCTGGCTGTTGACAGCTGTTCGCTAGCTGGAAACTGGCTGGAACTGGATGGGGAAAAAAGAACCGTCGAAACCACCGTAAAAGCGCGTAAAAACACCGTAAAAACCGCGAAAAACCATCGACGCTTTTTGTGGGACTTGTTCGGTGGGCATAGAAGCTCAAGAAGTGTACGCGCGTGTAAACAAGCTTTAAAGCCATGGAGGAAGCCCTGAAGGCCTTGAAAGGCGGTGGTGGGACCCCCACCCCAGAGGCGTTGTCAGAGGCCTGTGGCCTTTCAGTGCCTGAGTGCAAGGCGCTTTTGGAGACTTTGTGTGTGGATAGTGAGGAACCCAAGCAGAAGCGTCGTCGCAAGGAAAAGACTGAGGCGCAGGATGCACAGCCCAAGGCCAAGGCCAAGCGTGCTCCCCGTAAGAAGGTCGAGGACAAGCCAGAGGATGTTCCGCCACCAGATCCCCCTGCTCCCAAGACCCCCAAGACTTGCAGCCGCCGGGAACCTGTTGAACCAGTTGAACCAGTTGAGCCCGGTCCGTCTGAACCAGCTGCACCCGCTGCGCCTGCACCTTCTGAGTTGGAGGCAGGCTCTTGTTCTTTAGGTCAATGTGTCAAAGGGTCTTTCGTGAATACAGGCTGGGGCTACTCCAGACATGACTAGGTCCCAGCCATGGCCTTGGTTTTTTCTATGGCAATTAGGGTTCGATTTCTTTGCCTTTCCAGGACCAATGAGACTTTGCAGCGTGGGATCGGTTTTGTGAGCAAGCAGGTTCCCCCTTCTACGCTTCACCCCTAGTTGCTGGTTTTGCTTGTCTGTGTGTGTGCGCGCGTCGAGTCGATGTGTAGTTTTTGAATTAAAATGTCAGGTTGGCCAGGGGAGACAGCCATGATTCTATTCCTGGGAGCGCTGCTCAGATGACTGCTCTTCGGCAAGCTAAACAAACCGTCCTTGTCTTTCCAACCCGTCCGCCAATTGATGTGGATACGGAAGAGGACCCGGACAACCAGCTTGGCCTGAGTGAGGAGGAGGCGCTTGTGGATGATGAACTGTACGTGGATGATACTTTTGTGGAGGAGTCTCCTAAGGGGGCAGAGGGGGGTCAGTCACCAGCACAGGTCGCTCCTGCACTACCCAACTCTTCTGGTCCTAAGGGCTGTGAAGCACCTTCCAATGCTGCCACTGTCAACTCAAGGACTCACCCTGCAGAGTATGCCCGCTTGTCACGGTTCGCAACTGGCAAAAAGATTGCTAGGTTCCCGGAAATGCAGAAGCTGTGGAGCAGTGGCAAGAAGGACGTTCTGTTTCGCCAGTGGGTTGCCAACAATGGTGATCCTGATGCCATTGAGTGCAAGCTCAAGGTCGTGGCCAGTCAGAAGAAAGAGGGGGAGTGCCGACAGGAACTGCTTACCGTAGCCCAGATGCGGGAACGTGGTATGTCTGAGTGCTTCGCCTGTATGTAAGCAGAATTTTTTTTGTAAGTGAACTCGAATGATGCCCGCTTTGTGTGAATCTTTTGCGGCCTCGGACTCATTGACCTAGGCCGAAGATCGAGGCTGTGGTGCGGCGTGGCAACGCTGTCCCAGATGCGGATTGCCCAACGTCGGTTGCCGACCTGGGGTATTGGGTCGTGACTTCGAGGACCCGCACCGATAAGGAAAGCTTGGAACGCTCCGCAGAACTCGAAGCTCAGATCAACACGCAAGATGCCATCGGGGTCTTGACAGGTCTTGAAGGGCGCCTGGACCAGTTGCATGGTGTGGGTCTGAACGCTGACCAGTCTCCTGCTGCAGGTGATTTGCTTAAGTTCGTGAGAGACTCTGCTTCAACTGGCATTGAAGGTGCTGGTGCAGGGTTTTGCGTGTAGCTGTCTTCTTTTTTCCCAATCAAAATCATTCCCGTTTGTCACGAATCCTTCCAGGTGCTGCGCCGGCCAAGCCGGCTGGTGTGGCCGCCAAGGCCAAGGCCAAGGTCAAAGCGAAGGCGAAGGCCGAAGTTGATTTGGCCGTGAAACTTGAGAAGAAAGACCTCCCGGAGAGGAAGCTCATTTTGCGTGGCAACCTCATTTCTTTTTTCCTTTGCATATGTGAGGCTATGTTTTGTCTGTTGAGGCAACGAGCTGAAGAAGGAGATTGGCGCAATCAATGGGATGCTGTTGGATTTCACCCAGTGCAAATTTGATCCAAAGCGAATGGACTTTCAGGCCTTCTGCAATGATCTGAAAGATCAGGTCCAGAAGTTGACGCAATGCTTCAACAGGCAAACCCAAGATGTGATGTGTTTTCTTGAGCGATGAAACATTAGACATTGCCCTGGCAGTGTCGCTGTCATCACGGACCCTGCCGCCTTCGACAAGCAGCTGGCTGATGTGCAGTTGGAGGCTTGATGAGCAATAGCTTATATAATGCATTTCTATTTTAAATTTTGGCAGGTCAATGAGACTCGCATCATGAAAGCTCAAGCAAGGGCAGTCTTGGCTGAGATGAAGAAGTGCTGCTGCCGAGATTGTTTCCGCAATCAATGCCTACCCTCAAATGTCTCCTTGCCAGGGACTATGCCTGATCACTTCTTTGGAGCTGCGGGCCTGCCTAGCTTCTTGCTGCTTGAGACCTTGCGCAGCTATAGAATTCTAGATTGCTTGTTGCTCAGGTGATTGATGTTTTCCTGTGAATGAGGGCTGTGAGACTCTAGCAACCTTAGGTTTTTTCACCAGCTAGTCGGCAGTTTTAGCTCGAGGGCCACACAGTTCTGTTGGAGTCACTTTGTCTAGCCAGCGCTGTGTGATGCTTGGAGAAGCTGCTCCTTCAAGTTGTTTTGCAGTGGCCCTGCAGGGCGGGGGGTGCTTTTGGCCAGGGAGATTTGTGCAAGCATGTGCAAGCACAAATGTGGCTTGCACCATAGAGTACGGCAGGTGTTCTGGCAGGGTTGTTGTCTCGACGCTTTCACAGAGAGCGCTCACCGTAGGTTCAAAAGAGAGTGAAAACAATTCTTCAAGGAGTATCCCTTTGAACCATTCAGGCTTGTACAAACAGTGCTCAGCTCAGCTCTAGGTACGTCAGCTGAAGTTGACCATATTCGTCGTGAATTGGACGACAGGCCGTGTTTGTTTTTAGTGGCTCTGTTACGTCTTCAATCTTGCGGCGAGGCTGGTCTCAGCTGTGGGGAAGGGCGCTGTCTCACTGAGCACTTCGGCCATTTTTGGACAAGCCTACGGGTCGCATATCTTTCGCAGGCTTGCAAACCGATCGCTTTTTTTCGCGCGAAAAAACATACTTGTTTTGATCAAGCCTACTTCGCGAGGCCAGAGGGTGAGACTCGCGTGCACAATCGCCTGGGGAAACATGGCTTTGGGATGGGCGACCCAGTTCGCTATCTCCAAATTCCGGTCCTTGATCCAGACACAGAAGAAATGAGCTTGACAAGTTGGCCTTTTCTGCTGCCAACTGATTTTGCTGGAAACTTAGAGAATTATAAGTTTGACATTTGTGAGGTTTTGTGCTCAAAGCCTCTTCCTGTGTGGTCTTAGGTCGAGATGCTTTCAGAACATGGCTTTTTGAACATCCTGAGCAAGCCTGATGCAGGATTTTGGGAGAAAATCAGTTATCATTGCCGACCGTCGTGCCCAACAGCTGTGCCGGTGCTTCTGTTTGGGGATGAATGTATGTGCAAAGGAAGCAATTACATGACCCTTACATGGATGGCTGCTACTAGCAAGTTCAAGAAGGATAGTTTGTGTTCTCGTCATTTGCTCACCCTGATCCCTGCGGATTTGTATGTCATTGATGATGATGGCGTCAACCTGACCCTGCAGTCCGCTGTGGAACAAATAGTTCTGGCGTTCAATCACATGGCGACCGAAGGTCGCTGTGGGGTAAAGTTGCAAGTGATTGGGTGCAAAGGAGATTGGAAATTTTTCAAGCAGTGTGCAAATTTGAAACGCTACTACAACAGTGTTTCAATATGCCACTTATGTTTGGCTGACAGATTGGAAAACAATTTCACTGACATTCGTGCTGAAGCTCCTTGGCGCCAAACCATTGGCACCACAGTTCCTTGGGATCGTGAGCCCGCATTATGTTTGCTGCCGCAATTTGGTCCTCACTGGCTTTGGCCGGATATGCTACACGTATATTTTCTGGGGGTGGCCAGGGACATTGTAGCTTCAACAATGGCCTGGCTTCTACGCTCTCGGTTCTGGCCTGGGAGGTCTCTGAAGAAGCGGTTGAAAAAGGCGACAGATGCTTTCAAGATGTGGTTGAAAGCCAACAAACTAGGAGGCATCCCCCGGAAGTGGCGCTTCACAAAGCAGAAGTTCAATATGAAGAAAAACAAACCTACACATTTTCTTGAGAAGGCCTCCAGGGCGTCTTTGCTCATGCGCTGGCTCCACGCGGAGCTTGAAAGCCACAACCATGAAAATGTAGATCTGAGGTCGCTTTTGTGGGCTTGCCACCACGCTGTTGGCATTATGGCAGATGGGGGTGATTTCTTAACAGGAGCAGAGTGTTCGCAGGTCGCCGCAATCGGTGAATTTGCTCTGAGAGAGTACTTGAAATTGCACCATCAGTTGGCAGGAAAGACCTTGTACAAACTCTTCCACCTAAGGCCTAAATGGCACATGCTGCACCACATTTTCCTGTCTTTGGTAGGTGCCGGTGAGGATAGAATCAATCCGTACCTTGGAGTTTGCTGGATGGACGAAGATTTTTTGAAAAAGATTATGGCCATCACCAGGCATTGTCACCCGATGACAGCTTGCACCAACACAATCAAAAGATATTTGCTTGGTGCAGCTCAAAAGTTTAGGGATGCCTTGGAAGGAGTCTGAACCGTTTTTCGCAACCAACTTTGAACTTTACATTTGGTCTTCCTGATAGTTTTCGTTTATGATTCTGATGCTTGGATTCCTTCAGCGGCGGCTGGAACACAAACACAAAGCATCGAAGTCTGCGGGGTCTGGAAAACGAGCAGCTGTGTGCATTCCTTTTTGAAAGTTGCTACTCGTTGGTTTTTTCATAGTTTTGGATATATGTTTGGTAAACAATTTCTATATGGAAGTTATTAATTATATCTTCTGTAGGGGCTCAAGCAAGGCTCAAGCGAGGCTCAAGCAAGGCTCAAGGACCAAGCAAGGCACACGCAAGGCTCGAGCAAGGCTCAAGCGCCAGTGGGATTTACAGTTGTTTCTGGTTTTTGTAGTGCGAATGGCCAAATCGCGGCTTTTTAAAGTACAAATGTATCTCCAGGCTTGCTGACGGCCTGCGATCCGATCCGCACGGCGCTGCTGTCGTAGCGCCCGTTGCCTCTGCCGATTCTTGATTCGCTTGGCTTCCTCTCGCTCGTCTTGTCGATGAAGCCACGTGGACCTGGCTTTCATTCGGAAAGCCACCTCCTGCTCGGAGGTTGCCTCCTGAGACTTCGCTGTCTCGACGAAAGGCTTCTCGGGGATCTTGGGGTCTGGGAGCTTCTTTGGAATTTCGGGTTCGCGCTTCTCCGACGTCTCGGGTTCTGGAAACTTCTCCGATCCCTTTTCCTTTTCTGCCTGTTCTGGAGGCTTCACGATCACTTCGGTGCACTTCTCGGGTTCCATCGTGACAAGACAACTCTTCGTGTCCATTCCTCTTGTGCGGTAGTTCCTTTGACTTCCGTCTCCGATGCGGTATCTTCCTTCGGTTCCAATGGATCCTTTTCCACATCCTGTTGCCCGACCTGGGCGATCACAGTGCCCGGCGTGGGTTCCGTCGGTTCTTCCCTGACCGTGTCCGGACTCTGCTCTTTCTTCTTCTCTCCGCTCAACTCCTGGTCGACCCAAGCATCCGAAGGCATGCTCCACTCGACGAAACCTGGGCTGGACGGGGTCCGCACAGTCAATGCGCTTGCGCACCGAACTTGAACCGTCACGCTCTGCAACATGCAAGACCGAATCTTGAACTGCATCATGCATGGTCGAATAACGAACAACACGGTGCGAACTGGAGTCAACATCGGACGTGTGCTGCAACGAACGGAGTGACGATGACATGTCAATGTCAATGGCTCCTGGGTGGACAATTGAGCTCCAAGGAACATTGCACCAAAGAAAAATATCAAGATGAGTTCTACTACTCCTAGTTCTGTTTGGAACCTGGTCGTGACCTCCGAAATGAGAGAGGGACAAACATGGTGGCTTCGCCTGTTTATCTACCTCTCTGGAGGTCCGGGAACCGCTCTTGCCAGGTGAACATGTAAACGTCCAACCTTTTCTGAAAAGAGCAACACTCAACAAGCTAACCTGTCCGCATCCCATCAGCGCTGTGACTCTGAGCTTCTGTGGCCTCTGCAGTTGGCTGCCAGCGCAAATGCTACACGACACCCGCGACAGGCTTGAGCTAGCAGGTGCTGCGGGCGGCGGCGCGGCGGCTCTCGACGAAGCAGCAGCAGGCGAAGCAGCATCAGGCAACGACGCGGCGGCTCCATCGCATTCTAAAAAGCTAACATGCCTATTTCTGAGAGCATACGCGCTGAACTCTGCTTCGACACACCGATCTAGGATCATTTCCTGTCCGCCCTCATCACTGAAGTTTGACTGATCAATGGATGCTTGCTCCACTGTCCACCAGAAAGTGTGGATCAGTGGCGTCGGTGTGGTTGCCATAGCTGTGAAGCTGGTTCAGCAGGACGTCGGGTGGTGCAACCCATTCCGAGAATATCTTCTTCATCCTCCTCTCCCACACTTGCTCCTTTCGGTTCTCCGCCTTTCGGTCCTTTGCCACCTTTGGGTTCTCCTTTGCCTCCTTTAGGCTTGCCACCTTTAGGTTTCCTTTCCTCTTCGGGTCAAAGGGGGAATGTGAACGATCCTTTC